CAAAGCCATTTTCTCCTTCATGCACGAGCATGAATCAAGATATGGAGATATCGTCCAGATTCTAAACCTCGAAGGTCGGATGCGAGAGTTATTCCATGAAGACCCTGCCCTCAAACAATTCCCCCACCGTTTCTCCACGCCAACTTTCGACCCCACTGGCTTCCAACCAATTCTCTCCCCTTCCCAGACGAAACCAAAGCTATCCTCTATTACTCCCACGGAAGAAGAGATGCAATCACGCCAGGACTCCCCTCCCGCCCGCTACCTCGGAGCGCCGGGGCCAGCTGCAGGGCCAGGACCGCCATCAACAACAACCCACTCCCCCAAGCGCCCCTATGTGCTCGATGAATTGGACGAAGACTCCTCGAATCGTCCGCGTAAGTTCGTGCGAGCTGAGTCGCCACTGAAAGGCGCAGCAGGCCGGCGGCTGAATCAGCAGAAGCAACAGATTCAACAACAGGTGGTAAATGGTAGCGGTGGAGGTGGGGGAGGTGGGATGGGTGGTGCGTATGGTGGTGGAGGTCAAGGGAACAAACCACCCATCCCAGTTCCGCTGCCGAGAGAAATCATGTTCCTGCTCAGCATTATTCCGGGCGCATCGACGTACGATGCTACGAGGTTTTCGCCGGAGAAGATGGTTATGCTATTGCGTCATTTGGAAGTTCCTTCGTCGGTGAGTCAGCTTAGACCGCCTGTTCCCCCGCTTGGGGTTGCTGGTAGTACTGGGGTGGTGGGGGGTTTGAATCGTGGGCAGTATATGAGTAAGTGCCTCTCCAAAAACAATATTACCCGTCCCGTCCCTTATTTCCGGCGTTTTTCCTTTCCACGCAGCGGACAGGAAGATATACTGATGATGTTTGTATATGAGATGTAGGTGGCTACCGCCCTGGTTCATAGTCATAACCTGTCGAAAGACATTATTTTGATTTCGGGCTATTCGCCGACTCTATTCGACGAGCGCGTCTGGTTGCTGCTGTTCTATAGTTTCCAATTTATGTCGGATGAAGGAAAAAGAAAGCGGGAACTACTTCTCCTAATATTTATTTAAAAGGCTATTGAGTGCCTCGGTTCTTTCCTGCGGGATCTTTAAACTGGAGAGACGAAAGGACATGAGAAACTTACCTCAGATGATACACGGGCTGCAGTTCTGTTAACTTGGGCGTTCGTTCTCTTTTTTCCCCTCCTTTTGCCGTTTTATTCCCCTTCTTTTCCTAGTTGGGCTTTTTTTTTTTTTTTTTTTTTTTTTTTTTGGGTCATTTTTCATCATTGAAATCTGTATCATACATATCATATGAATGGAAGAAAACAAGAGAGAGGGAAGGTAGCGTTGGGAAATCTTGTCATCCTTTCCGTAGTTTTTCCGTTCTCGGTTGACCCTTTTTGCGGGGGAAGTTCAAACAAAAGGGGCGTTCGCACCATTTATTTATTCATGGCAATCAGAGTTGAGTTTTTACTCATGAATACTACATCGTCCTGGTGCTATTAATTATCCTGGCAATAGGGGATAAGCTAGGTAACTAACATATAACCACTGGTTACTTCTATAAAATTTTCGAGCCCTCATGGTCCAAGCTTAGCTTCAGCGTCACATAATAAACCTTATTTCAAATCAAATCAATGGCCGCGACAGATAAGCAGAAACCCACTGCGATCATCTGTCCATCAGGGATGGATGTGCAGATAGATGCCTTCTCTTCACAGCATTGGAGAGGAATGCAGCTGTGTTATGCTTTTTAACCGACCGTCTGTGGCGCCCAGTGAGTCTGTTACCAAGTTGCTGTAAATGGAGCATTCCTGATTCAGATTCACGGGGTTGTGATATACCATGAGTTGTTAGGGGGATAAGTAGGAGACTCCCGTGAAAATCGATTCTCTCCCTTTTTTTTCTCTTTCTTTGTCCTCTTTCTTTTGGCGGGAGGGAGAGCCATCCGTGCGCACACTGGTAGGAGGTGGACACATTTTCGTCCCCCATGGGAGCTGATCTGTGGACATGCGCTTTCGACCAAATAACTATCTATCTATATGCCAGAGAAACGCTGGGAGAGAGACTTGGCCGCTGGGTGCTGTCGCTGTCGCTGTCGCTGTCGCGGGCTCTCCGATGGGATGGAGACGGGTGACGTAACGCCTTCTCAATGGGGGTGAGTTGTGTTGTGTTGTGTTGCGCCTGTCCAGCAGAGGGAGGACTTGTGTTGTGGTGGTGTTGCTTATTTATTTCGATCTCTTGTTGTTTGCCCAGCCTACTGCATCTCCATCATCGTCAGTCATCGTCATCTTCTTCATCTTCTTCATCTTCATCTTCATCGTCATCATCTTCTTATTCTTCTTCTTCTCCTCCTCCTCCTCCACCACCACCTCCTCCTCCTCCTCCTCAACCTCCGCTACCTGGTTATCCTTCCAACTGACCTTCTCACCCCGTTTCATCCTGCTGGTCTCCTTCATGTCCTCCAACAGCCTCCCCTGAATACCCACCGACTCTACTTCTCCTCAATGACCCCTTTTTTCACTATCTAATCTCAATCCTTGCATGCCCATTCTCGTTCTCCTCTCGTGATTTTGAGCTACCTGCATACCAAAGAAGGGTGGGAGGTGAGTTATGTATCTGTCTTCTCTCCTATCTCAATCTTTTCTCTTACAACTGCTGGTACCCGTGCCTTGACCACAGCTTTCTCTCTCTCTCTCTCTCTCTCTCTTTTTTTTTTATCTTCCTCTCTATCCATTGTGATACCTCTCCCTGTAGCCTTCTACTACTTCATTTCCTTCTCGCTTTCCTACGTTATACCTGTCATTCTGTCATCATATTTTCCAGAAGCTCTCAGTTGAGGTCTCATTCTCTTCTCACCATTTGCCCTCACTTTGCTGCGGATCCTCCCTCCCGATAAACGCAAAACAGACAGGATACAAAGCAGACGCGTTCTGCAGCTCCTACAGCCCGCATTGCCCGCCCGTCCTGCGCCTTCTTGTTTGGTTGCTGCCAGCTGCCATTCCACCGTTTGAATTACTTTCAGTTAGTTGACTGTCCGCCTCTTTCTTGGTTTGCTTGTTTTCCATTTTCTTTTCTTGGGGCTTGGGGCTTGTTGCCATTTCGTTATTCTCCTCCTCCTCGTCGTCGTCGTTTTTCCTTTCTCCCTGCTTGCTCCCTGCTCCGCAACGCAACATTCCAATCTCAATCTATCTGCCATATTCCTTGTTGTTTGTCAGACTTCGAACCAAACAGCGTTATTTTCGGATAGCCAGTCCTCCGTGAGAGTACCTTGGTCTCTACTTTTCATGCATCGATATATCTGGGAGCCCTTTCTCCGTTCCGATCCAACTCAAGACCATCGTCACTAACTCCATATATTCAGTTGATAGACTAGAAAATCATGTCTGGTGCAGGCAAGCGTCGTCGCCGAGGCGGCGGCCGCACTCGTCCTAATAACGAAGGAAATGGGAACGAAAACCCTCAGAGTAATGCTCAATTCGATGGCACGTCTGGGCCAGGAGGTGCTGGTCAGCGCCCTGGCGTGAACTCTCCTCCAAGGTCGCCACGCGCTGGGTCACCGCCATCTCGTGGTAGGAGCCCAGCTCCAGCAACTCCAACTATTGGAAGTATCGGCCAGGTTATGCAGGGTTCGAATCTTCCTCTGCGAGACCCTGCTCGGGATCCCGAGAGGGCCTCGAGAATCACAGATATGTGTCGAAATATCGACCTGCCAGCGGATGCCTATCTGCTAAATCCAGAAGTAAGCATATTTCTCCGTCTTGTCGCTGGGGTCACTTTACCTTGAAGCCCACAGTGTTTGCTTCTCATCATTATTCGCCTGGTGTGGGATCTGTAACAATTTATTTCCCCTTTTTATGCGCTCTGCCTATGGAGAAACCCCAAAC